CAGCAGGGATCGAACCTGCGAATTCGATGTTCAAAGTCAGAAGCGTTTTCATAAAAAACTTATTGTCGCAGATCTGTCCAAAATGGAAAGAGTTCAGAAAAGAAAAAATTATCCAGAACTGTCAAAAATGGAACCTGTTCAGAACTAGTTCGAAAGTTCTGCAGAGGTGGCAATTTCCACTTCGTAGAACAACGCCATGTAAAAGGAGACAGTTGAAAGCATTGCGTTGGGATAGATCGAGAACCAGAACTGCCTATTAAAGAGTTTTGCGCTAATTCTGAAAAAGCGCAATTTACTGCCGGGTAGCTCAGCGAGAAGACCTCCGACTCAAGCATCGTTGGTCGCGAGTTCAAATCGCGATGAAGGCAGTTGTGAGTTTTCAAATTTAAAGAGTTTAAATTGTTGCGTGTATCTGTAACAGGAAAGAAAAAACGAAAAAAATATCCAAAATACGAATCTTAAAAACGGTTCCTTATAAAAAACTGTCCAAAACGGAACCGGTAAAAAACTGGTTCCAAAGTAATGCACTGGGCGTCAATTGACACCGCCAATGACATCGCCGTATAAAACTGGATAGTTGAAAGCGTTGCTTGGGTATTGAGCTAGAACTACGACTGTCGACAAAAAGTCTAATTCTACGCTAGTTCAGAGCTAGTCAGATTTTCTGCAGGGCACCTGTCTCAACCGTGCTCCATAGATTATATCGATAAATGTTCTCAAACTTTCTTCTTTTCTCTCTTCTTTTGTAGATCTTTGCGGGGCTGCTTGGGCTTTTACCACTACTGGCGCATTGGAGGGACAATATTTTCGCAAAACCTCTAAACTTATTTCACTTTCAGAGCAAAATCTAATAGACTGCACCATTCCCTACGGTAATAAGGGCTGTCGAGGTGGCACCAAAGAACGCAGCTTTTTGTATGTGCGCGACAATGGAGGTATTAACTCAGCCGCCGTGTATCCATATCGTGCGCAATTAGGACCTGAGTGTTTGTTCGATGTGTCTGCGATTGTGACGAAGAGCAAAGGATTTGTTAAACTAATGCCAAACGATGAAAATGCTCTAAAGGCTGCTGCAGCCACGGTGGGCCCAATTGCAGTTAAGGTTAATGCGAAATGTTTTCGTAAGAAATTCTATAGGCAAGGTATTTTCGATGATGAGGCATGTAAAGAGCACAAATCGAATCACGCGATGCTTCTTGTGGGCTATGGACGAGACAATGTTACGAATAAAGACTATTGGATATTGAAAAATTCATGGGGTCACAGTTGGGGTATGGATGGTTATATGAAAATACCGCGGCATGTCAATTATGGAGGTATCGCAATGCGTGCGAGTTACCCGTTGATTTAAATGTACATTGCAAATTCGCATGTATGTATGTATTTAAAAAAAATAAATAATATATCATCGAAAATAATCAATTTTATTAAAAAAGATGCTTATTGTCTCGGCTATCCAGAATGAAGTAGCTAATCTTTATATTACCTACATATGTATATATGTATGTACATATGTAATTACATTTTTTAAATTATTTGTGTAGGTGGAAGTTTTTTTTTTTAAATGTTCCTACAAGAAAAGGACATTTTAGACTGGCCGATTCTCAATACACTCAAATACTCATAAAAAACGCTGCAAAAATTTCGCCACAATTTTAAGGCAGTAAAACAGAGACCTTAAGTTAACATCAGTCGACGCCATATGATGAAAAGGGATGCAAAATCACATATACACAAAGGAACTGGTCAGATTGTTCATATTTATATTTATTTTTTCATTACACAATAGCGAGGCACAAATAAATATCACAGCTAAACGAACAAACATATAAACTTAGTTTTGGCCTCTAGATTACGATGTCGTTTCAGAAAATCCGCACCACGTTAAAATTTTGAGATATTTAGGAGGGAAGTTTTAGAGCTCTGACGGTGAAATTTTCGTCGCTTTTAACACAGTGCTCAGGTTTTGAACTTTTTTTCTGGGCAAAGGTTCTGATAGCTGATCTTAGTTAATTGGGATCTTCTTAATTCAATGGCATCCCACGTTTTGCGAAATTAGCTCCAGTTTTTGAGATATCGGTGCTTGAAAATTTGCTTTAATTTTAACTTTTTTTTAATGATTCCCTCAGTTTTAAAGTTTTTTTAATAAAAATTTGTACATGACGGTTTTTCGATACTACCTTAACTATTTCTGAAAATCATCGAAATCGGTTCACTATAATATATAGCTCCCATACAACTGATCGTTCAGATATGTGGTTTTACGTTGTAATTCATATTTTATTTCATAATGGCACATTTTTGCATATTTTGACAGTTTCTATTGCACGAATGGGTTTTTAATACCTTTTGTGCTGTGAATGCTGTGGTTTGTTGAAGTCAAAGTGACTGGGTAATGCTTTCCAATAGGTGACGGTCCATACTGCGTCATATATTGACATAAGTTGGCACGACAAACAACACAAACGAACACAATTTACCTACAGTTTAATAGATTACTTTCCATCTAGATAAATATTTACTTTTCCCTACACAAAATTTATTATTTATATACACTTAGGTCTCTTTTTATGCGGTACATGCATTCCTCAGAATGCCGCACAAAAAAATTCACATAAAAAGTTCTTTACTTTCATACAAAAGCAGGGGATGCACTTCAGCATTTTAAAAAACCAGAACCGCATATATTCAGAAATTGCATGTATTAAATTAAAAAAAAAAATTCCAAAAAACCGCATAAAAGAATCCAGTGAGGCATTATTAAGCAAAAAAACTTTTCACTTCAACACTTATTATTCCATGTAAAACTAAACATTAATAAAGGAAATAAAATTTTGTCTGTATTTTAACCAAAAAAATACTACAATAAATACATGAATTATGTAAGAATACAAAGACAAATTATTAATCAGAAGCATTGTCTCTTACACACTGAAAAAAAGTAACAAAAACTCTCAAAAACGCAAAATCGCTACTGCGAAAAAATAGTTTGAAAAACCGCATAAAAAAGGCGCATAAAAAGAGACCTAAGTTAATCTTAAATTTTTTTTTGTGCTATTCATGCTACTCTCCATAGCTGAGTGGTAAGAGATACTCTATAAGACCAAGGTTCTACGCCAGGTGAGAGAAACATCGCAAAAAGGTTTTCGTAATAGCGGTCACGACCTATAGTAGCTCTGATCCAGTACTCCATGAACTTACAGGATTTTACACGAACTTGCAGGAAGTTGCAGAAAAAATGCTCCCGTACTCCGAAATCCTCCAAAATCCTGTAAATGAGAGCGACTTTTGGAGAGTTGTGTAGAGAATGAAGTTGCAAGATTTTAACCGAACTTTTTCTTCTGGTAAAATCATGAAAAGTGTCAAGCAATCACAGGTTGACGTTTTTACAGGAAAAATGGTTTTTTTGTTCCCGTACTTTTTGTTGTTACTCACTTTTTACTCTCACTTCAGAGAGTAATTTTTCTGTTTGACAGTTTTACAGGACTTTTCAGGAAAAGTATTGGATCAGAGCTAGTATATACTACTACCATGACAAAGCTTCTCGAAATAATCATTTGCCGTCCGGAGGCGGAGTAAAAACACGCAAACGACAAGAAGAAAAGCTCAGCCAAACACTTGGCAAAAATGTAAGCGCCGAATTGTAATACCCTCAACTCCGCAGGCAAACCTTCGAAGTTATTTCTTGTCATAAGAAACTATTTGCTGTTTGTTAGTAGCGTACAGAAGCCCAAATGTTTTATTTATTAATTTTAGGAATCCAAGTTCCTCTGGCATGCCTATGCACACAATTATCAAATATGCAAGAAGAAAAAAACGACGAAATCCGCTAAAATGAGCAACGGATGCATGTATAAACTTCTGTACTAATTTCTTTCAAAAAATCATATATATCCACCATACCTCCTGGAAATGATATCTTAGTAATTTCAGCAGCCATTACTCAAGGTTTTGTATGTGCCGCAATTCATGCAGGAATTAATTTTACTTATTAAAGCCAGCCGCTAGACGTAAACTGTGCATTAAAAGGGGAGTTTTCAGCAGAGCATGTCTAATTTGTTCTAAAGTTTTGAAAACATCTGGTGTTTCTCTGACTATTATGTATGTTTTTATTATCAATTGTTTTAAGTTGCATTTTTCCTGCATTCATCATTTGCTACGCGACCGTTTAGGTGTTTATATTTTTTTAAACCTACAATTCTAAAGCGTAGAAAACTATCAATATAATGCGCATGCATTAGGGTGGTCCAAAAAGAGTAAAGTCGGAATTTTAATGCCTTCAGCCCCTAGGATTGTTCTATATCGAAAAAAGTATACCCCTATTTATTTTTTTTCCGATCAAAAAATATTGATTTTCAAGAATTCTATACCATTTCTACGAAAAGTTGTTTTTTCCCATACAAAATACATAGAAGACTTTGAGCGCCTTGAGCGACCTCTAATTTTTTTTTGATTTCAGAATAAAAAAAACGTTTCCTTTTTTCGGTATAGAAGTGGGTGAGGCATAAACAATCCGCATTTACATTTTCACATGCATTTTTGGACCACCCTAGTACACATATATAGATAAATAAACATCCTCATTAATAGCAGCTGTCCGTTTTGCTGAATGCGCTCCAGACAAATATGCATATTTGCAGATAGATGTTCAGGTAAACATTTGCCTGTGTACATATTCGTTGCAATAAGTATAATGGAAGGTTTTTTATCATACGAAAAACTCGCATTTGAAAATCAATATACAAGGAGCTCAAGATTTCGCTATATATATCGCGAGAATTCAATACATTTCATAGTTAATTCTCAAGATGTTCGCAAAACGAGTTATCAGCGCACTATTCGCCTTCCAAGTTATTGCTGGCGTGGTTTCACAATCAACGGCAGCCGCAAGTGGCACAAGTGACGTTTGGTTGGATGTAGATGACTACATCCGTGAAAATCGTCGTCAGTACAATGCGACTCTCAAAGATTATCTGGATCAAATAAATAACGTCAAGAACAGCCTGGAAGATCAATTGAAAGTGTTGGACAAAGAAAAGGTGCTGCTGTTGAATACAATACAGGAAACGAATGAATTTATCGATCCATTGGAGGTACTCAGCTTGCCTACCCGATATTGCGTAAAACAGTACCGTGAAGAAATTCCATACGCTACTACTGTAAAGTCTTATATTGACAGCTGCATCAGCACCGCTCGTAACTATGTGAGCAGTATTGTCAGCTCACCTAATAGTTATTATAACTTGTTATCGAATTACTACAATAACGACTTGAAAAATGGTTTGAATAATTGTGTTAAGACACACAGCGATCTTAATTCTTTGAATTACACACTTTGTGTCACATCAGTGGTAAGTAGACGTGGGGCTGATATCATATGCACCAGGATAACTATAATGTTTCTTTTTAGATTTCTAAAGCTAACACCTACACCATTTCCAATCGTAAGAACTTTGCCACAGCAATAACATCGTCAATTTTCAGTGTAAATAATTATGTCAATACAGCTGTGAACTGCCTGTACTCTCAATACAATCCTGGATTGAAATCGATCGGAGCAGCCTCTCGCCTCATTCATAATTGCCTCAATGGATATCTGGAAAACGACTCCCAAAACAATAACAACAATGTTACCATCTACGACGGATGTCCGAATGTGATCTACATGCAATTAGAGGATCTGGATTCAAATAATACTACTGTAGGAAATCAGTTGCGAGCTAGAAGCCTGACTTGTCTGGAAATAAGATTTGTTTAAATAAATACACAAAAAAAATCATACATACACAAGCATCTCGAAATGAAGCCATAAAAAAGAACGAAGGGAAATGTACAAATCTATCTAACTTCTTAGCAGATATCCTATAATAATGTTGTCTTGAAATAAAGTGAGCTTAAATGAGTAGTCGACTTGCAAACAGCGTTATGTGATTTTATAATAGTAAGCCATAAATTAAACAAGTAAGAAAGTCTAAGTTCGGGCGGAGCCGAACATTAAATACCCGGCGCAAGTATTAAATATACGTTTTTCACCTTTCCGAAAGCTACCGCTACATGGTAAGCCGGGGTGTATCAATTTTGAGTAAATTAGCGTCCTTAAATTTCGAAATATTGAAGTTTCAAGCATTTCTGAAATTTACCGTTATATGAAAAGCGGCCGTAATTTTAGTCCGATTTCAATAATTTTCAACGCTTTGCTTCTGTGTGGCAAGTACAAGAGTTTGGTACAAATTGGTAGAACCGTTACCGATATACATATATGTGATCATAAGTGGGCGGTACCACGCCCGTTTTCAAAATTTTACCATAAGCGTATTTCTTGGCAAAGAATTGTTGCAAGCGTCAAT